GCTTTCTTCAGCGCGACGCAGTCGTCTGTATTGTGGGAGGTGTTCTTGTGGTAACGGCAATAAGTGCCGCCCTAGTGGACGGCGTAGACTTCCGTGGCCGGCGGGGGATCTCTGGGGATGAGACCTTGCTCCTCCGCATAGTCGAGGATGGTATCCACCGAGTGCGTGAGTGGAGTCCTTGGGACGTCCATCCTCGGCTGCCATGGGCGCTCCTTCCGGTTCTGGCGGGAATGGCCTCCGGCCGAGGTGCGCTTGGAGCCGACACATTGTTTGTCTTCTTTAATGGCCGGCCTCCATCCTTCTTGCGGGAGTGGAGCTCATCGGCGTCAGCGTACAAGCTCCCTCTCTGGAGTGCCTTGGTGTATGACCTCGGCGGGTCAGTGATGAGGCTCCTCGCATAGGGGCTGCTGCGGAGAACGCTTTGGAAGAGGATGGGGAGGGTGCTCTCATCATCACCTTCGACCTCGTCTGTCTCCTTCGTCCATCGGTCGATGAAAGACCGAAGTGATTCATCGTGTTGCTGTTTGATGGAGAGGAGATGGGAGAAATGTTTCTTCATGCACTTCCTTCCGGCGAAGTGGGTGAGGAAGCGTTGGGCAAGATCCTGCTACGAGTCTATGCTTCCTTCGGGGATCGCGTTGAACCACTCGTACGCTGGTCCTTCAAGAGTGGAAAGGAACCAATGACAAAGGTATTCCTCCGACGCGTTCACCATCAGCATGTTGTTCTGATAGCGGCTGAAATGTTCCTGGGGGTCGGAGCGGCCATCATAGGGCTTGATGCCATTTCCCCTGTACTTCTCAGGGATAGGGGCCGAGAGTACCCTGACAGTGAAGGGAGTCCTCGTCCTGATTTGGATGATGGGGTCTCCTCGTCCTTCGGCCAACTCCCTCTCAAGGATGCTGACCTTGTGTAGGAGGGCGTTGAAGTCGGGATCCCTGGATGAGTTGCCCGTGGGGGTGGCGGCCAGCTGTTTGGCCTCCATCTGGGCGAGTCTTCGCTCCAGCTGGGCGATCACCTTGACCCGGGGGTCCTTGGCGGCCATGGTGGCGTCCTGCGTCTGTTGGCGGGCTGCGTGAGCCGTGTTGATTTGGTGGCGGGCATCACCCTCGTGCAGCTTACCCTTGCCTTTGTCCAGACGGGGCCGATCCGCTGTCCTGGATACGGACCCCAAGCTTTCCCTTGGTGAGCCAGGCTCACGTTCACCAATCCGTCCCGCCATCCTCTCCGAAGCAGGCCGACGGCGCATGTCACCTAGCCTATTGAAGACTGAGGCTTTTCCACGTGCTGGGGCCGGTCCAGCTTGAAGCGGGGAAGCAGGGTGGGAGTGGGACGACGTCGTGTCCTGGGGCACCACTCCCTCATCGTTGCCTAGCCTGAGGGCCAATGGATGGGGCTGAGGAGGCGGCGGCGTGTTCTCCCCCGTCCTTGGCATGAGTGCGCTGAGGACGGTGGGGTTCTGGGCCAAGCTGGCGATGATGGTCGAGAGCGTGGCCTGGAGCTGAGGGTCAACAGCAGGAGAGGCCGGTTGCGCCGAGGCATTTTCACCTTTCTCTGCACGCTTCTTGTCCAAGCCGATATGGGCGTCAGGGGCGCCTCCGTTGAGCTTGTTGCGCAGGTCACCTGCGAGGTCGATGGCTTCCTGGAAGACATCCCCCTCAGCGGCCTTGTCGGCCGTGGCGTCCTCCTCGTGTTCCCTGTCCTGGGTCTCAGGGATTGCCTTGCTGATGAGGTTACGGTTTGACCGTGTTCTTCCCATAGTCAGTTAGCTGTGCTTGGTAGCGACAAAGGATGCTAACTTGATTGTTCTAGCTCTCAATGAAAGCATCAAATGATAGAGTATATATCTAGAGAGAAGTGAGAGCAAGAGAGAGAAGTAGTATATTTGATATGTATTAATGAATTCTGAACCCTTACAACTACTACCAGAGGGAGTATTTATAGGAAAAATTAGGGCTGGGCTCCCAAGTCTTGGGCTTGGGAGGCCCATTTACAATAGGGCCACTACTGGGCCGAGTACAAAGAGTGTAAAAATAACTAAGTATGAAATCCGGTTCTGGGAGTTCTCTGTGGCCGAAGGAGGTTCGGCCGAAGGAGGCGCCTGGCCGATGGAAACACGGCCGATGGAGGACCATCCGAGCTGATTGCTGCCTGGGCCATATTCTGAGCTGACTGTTGCTTGGCCGATGGGGGCGCCGGCCGACGGAGGCACCGGCCGACGGGAGCACCGCCTGACGGAGGCACCGGCCGACGGAGGCACCGACCGACGGGGGCACCGGCCGATGGAGGCACCGGCCGACGGGGGCACCGGCCGACGGGGGCACCGGCCGATGGAGGCACCGGCCGACGGGGGCACTGGCCGACGGGGGAACCGGCCGATGGAGGCACTGGCCGACGGGGGCACCGACCGAAGGAGGACATTTCTTCTCCTCGACTTCTGGACCGTATTCTGGATCGACTCTTCTACGGCTGATGGAGGGCCACCTGGCCGAAGGAGGACCCACTGGGTGACAGCTGCGCTTCCTCTTAGTCTTCTGAGTATGTGGGTCATGGGGTCTGGACCCATATACTCCATCAATAAGTGTTTAATAAAAACCCACACAAGAGTAAAACAAGAGCTCACAGGCTCCATTAATTTACAAGTCAAAAATAGTTCCATGAGCATGATTTGTCTATTTAGAAATAGAACCGGAGGAAGCACGAACCACGTATTCTCTCCATCGATCTCCTAAACAACGGGTGCAAGAAGTAAGCTCTAGCTTCAATCTGAAAGGGTGGTTCCCCTGAGGGATCAGTACTACATAAAAGTACTGGTGAGGGCAAACTGTATGTAATATAACTAACGTTTCTCACATGGGACCCTCAACATAGGGTGATAGTATATGTATAGGCATAATTCTCAGCTACCCCTTTTCAAATATACAGTATACATATATACTTATAAGTAAAATATCCGGCACGTGGGCCTATTTGTCTTTCAAATCATTTATGCGTAACAACCTCATTAAATTTACCCTTCCCCCTGTGTCTTACCCTCGAGTGGAGTCACCCGCAGGCTAACTCACCCGATAACAAAAGATAATTATTGTGGGGGGGCCTTTGGGCTCCCATAGCACGGACATGGTTTAAATTAAATTCCTAGAACAAGGAAAATACCCTATCGGGAACTCATTCCCGGTCAAGCATGTTTAATCATTTAAAATCATTACCTTGGGGTTCACCTACCTCGAGGACTATCCGTCCTTACAATCATAGTTTACATTCCTGGGGCTAACCCCGCCTTGAGGAGTACGCATACACCTTCATCCTATGTGTAATTTGCTGGAGGTTAACACACCTCAAGGACAACACGGGCCCTTGTTACCTATATGCAATTTGATGGAGGATACCACACCTCAAGGACCGCACTTGCCCTTGTTACCTATGTGTAATTTGCTGGAGGTTAACACACCTCAAGGACAACACGGGCCCTTGTTACCTATATGCAATTTGATGGAGGATACCACGCCTCAAGGACTGCATTTGCCCTTGTTACCTATGTGTAATTTGCTGGAGGTTAACACACCTCAAGGACTACACGAGCCCTTGTTACCTATATGCAATTTGATGGAGGTTAACACACCTCAAGGACTGCATTTGCCCTTGTTACCTATGTGTAATTTGGTGGAGGTTAACACACCTCAAGGACTACACGAGCCCTTGTTAACATTTGAGTATAAAGGACTTCTCCTGGTCCTACAGAGTTTTATCCGACCTTACTCGGTCCCGGGTATTCACCCGCCATGTATAATACCACTTACCTCGCCCGGTCGTGGTCTATAATTTCTTTACTAACGAATAGTCCAAGTCTTAGCATTTAAACCGTATTCGAAGCCTTAGCAACCAACGTGGACGGGTCCCACCCGAATGGCCCACGTAAACTTACTAAAAAACTGCATATTGGATGTATAACTAAATACCCGACCGGGTATTTACCCATACCCGGTCGGGTATGGTGAGGCAGTAGCCCCTGGAACCATTTCTAATTAATACCCGGTCGGGTATTTACGCATACCCGGTCGGGTATGGTGAGGCAGTAGCCCCTGGGACTGTTTTTAGCTAATACCCGGTCGGGTATTTACCCATACCCGGTCGGGTATGGCCTTTGAATTTGCGGTCAACGCCGGTTTGACCGCCCAAACGAAGTCCGATTTATGTGAAATTTTATACACATGTACTTCTTGACGTCCTAAATCCAAAAATACCTTTTTGAGTCCTTGGAACATCATACATAATTAATTATCACATTTTAAATCATCAAACTTACTTAACATGCTTTTCAACTATATTTTACATATAATCATGGCATAACACATACTTGGTTATCTTTAATCATTCCATAAAATATATTTCTTATTACTTTAGGTAATCTCATGCCTCACGCAAAAGTTATAAGATATAAAGTCGTCTTCTCACAACTATTAATAAGTAATTCATACTTATTAATCGTTTATTATTTTGTTCTAGTTTATTTCTCATAACTAGATCATTTTTTATAATATGCAGACTTAAGCGTTTCTAAAATCTTCACAAGAATATTATCTTGAATTCCATAGTCATTTTCTCAAATAATCATTCATGATTATTCTTCATCAAGAATATTAATAATTCTTTACTCATTAATTAATCATGCCACTTTCACTTAATTTATTATCAATATGGTTAATCACATGTTTAAACACTTTTAAACATTTATATACATATTCACATACTAGATTAATCTAGTTGTCTCATACATAGTCCATGTATGCATTTTTATACATTTGACAATAATATACTCATGATTAATCCACAAATAAATCTCCTATTCATTAACCACGTAATATTTCCGTAATTCATATTCACCATGACTAATCATGCATTTTAATCCATTTAATCATTTCTCAAATCATGATTATGATTTTATTTCGGTAATACCACGTTTGACCCAAGAGTTACAAGACACGCAGTCGTCCACTCACCTCGAAATGACGCTAGCGAGCTTTTATCCTCTTCGTTTGAACTCCGGCGACTTTTGGAAATTTCCGGCGAAAATTCCGGCGGCTCCAGCGACTTTTCCAGTCACTCCTAGATTCCTTGAGAAATCTAGAATACCTTGGTAAAATTCCTAACAAGGTTTTATAAACCAAAAGTGGTATACATATCAAAACCCTCTGGGAAGGTGTTTTCCGGTGAACTGGTCTTACTCCGATCATAACTCCGATCATGGTTAAAACTATCCTTCCAACCCCTCATTCTACACCTCTAGGAGTGTAGAACACGCTCAGAGGTCTATCATATGATTTATAATATCATATGGGATTAAATTAAAGATGAAAAATACTAATGGAGTCATTACCTTGATTTTTCTAAGTTTTCTTCACTTTCTCCACTCTTTCTTCTTCCTTGAGCCGTCTTATTGCTTGAGCTTGATTATGGCTATGGAGGTAAGTATTTTCAGAGCCCTTCCCTCTCTCTTGGATAGGTTTGGCCGAAGTAATGGGGTGTGGGGTGTGACTATGTGAGGAGATGGATTTTTTGGCCTTCAACACCGAATGAGGTGGAGAGGGTCCCCTTTCCTTTCTAATTAAATCTCATGCATCCCCCCATCACACTTCAGTCTTCCTCTCGCCTGTTTGCTTTCATAATTACGTGGGGTGCCCCCCACCCATGTGGGAGGTCATCCCAATGTGTCCTAAAATGTACATTCGATCCCGAAAGTTGTATTTTTCTGGGCTGTTTTAATTAAATTTCATTTTATCGGACCAAATAAAATATATATCATTATCCCAATTAATATTGGCCCCTAGAATGAATATATATTATCCAACTTTAATTTCGTGGTTCTCGGAACTTATTTCGGGCTGTTATCTGTTAAATAACTAATACTGGTAATAGGACTTCGTTTGCTCAATAGGCCAACTCTAGGGCTCAACATTAAATTATACCATTACATAAATATTATATATACCAAGATGAATATAATATGTGATCCATAAATATTGGATGGTCCCTGCCCACGTGTGGGCCCAACATACATTTTACTGTTCAAGTAACAGTAAAAATGAGAACATGTTACCTCTAAAATTCACTCGTCATTTCTCATGACTTAATATGTGGTGTTATATTTTGTGACACTTTAATAAAAATGTTACACTTCTTTTTAAGTGATCCGAGATGTATGAACAGATAAAATCTTATCTGATTGTCCTCATACAAAAATATCCTCAAGGAAATGTCCTCCAAAAATACCCTCCTTTAATATACCAAACTAATCAATATTATTCATCCTATTATTTTGGGTTCTTCAAATATTTATATTTCTTTTGTTATTAATTCGTAGTCTTCTGAATTATTAACAATCCGATAATTAAGGGCTCACAATTATCGAATAGTGGCCCCGACGCACTCTGCCGTCCAGTTGTCGTTCTTTATATCACTAGGGTCCACCACCCATTCCTACTATCATAATAGTATCATTTAAATTAACATTAGTATCTTATACACTTTAAATATCACGGGTGGTCCCCGCTCCCGATGTGGATCCCGCGTCTGATTAATAACCTTTATTAATTTAAGACAACAATTTCATCTTTCTCATTTATCAAGGCTACTCTTAGCCTTGATTTACCTTCTTTAACCATGTACTTGATGAAAAAAAATTCACGGTGTAAAATTCAGGTCCGGTGTTACAGGTCTGGTCTGGTTTCTTTGTATTTTTATAACTATCCAAGTTGGTCTGGTCTGAACTGGTCTGATCTGATTGGATCTGGTCTGATCTGGGAGGAATTACAGTCCAAGTAAAAACATCCTAGATGGACTAAGATTTTGTTAGTTAGAATTGAGAACTTCTTACTAAAATTATATGATCTACAACATTTAATCTTGTCTGATGTAAAGTGATTTTGGACTATTCTGGTAAATGTCTCTTTGTGTGTTTCAAAACCATCGAAGTATGATCTAGTTTGTTTTAATAATGTCGTATTGTGAGATTCTTTTGTAATTTCCCAAACCTTGTTTATTTTAAATATATGATCAAGCACCCAATAGGGTAAGTCATTATACTCCCAAATTATATTTCGTTATATGCTATCTTTTGCCTAGGGTTCTCTCTATGGACGGTGCAGCTAGCCCGACTGCCACCGCCTCTACGGCACCCATGAACATGGCGCAGCCGGCGGCCTCTTGTGCAACCTCGACTGTCGTCCCCACGGCGTCTGTCACCATGTCACAACCAACCCTAGTTTTTGGCACACTTGTAATAGTGAGTTCCACGTCCAGCATGGCGCCCACTTTCGTGATTGCGAAGCAGCCTTCGTTCGCTGATCCACGGCACCACGACTCACCCTTTTCTCTGCCATCACTGCCGCTTGATTCCTACAAACTTTTTGGCATGCACGAGCCCTTCTCCTGAATTCCTACTATCGCGTCAGAGATAGAGGATGCTTCTCCGTAAACGCACCACACTGTCGTGCCATACATAGGTGCTGTGATGCCGGAATTTTCTGCCCCGACTCTGTCCAGATAGCCAGGTGTCTCCCCCATGCAACACCATTCCATGTCTCGTCTTCGATGTTTTACGGTACCCTCGACATATTTATCCTCTTTGGTTTCTTAATTAACTTTTTCCACACCAAATGTGACCAATATATTCACTTTGGTTGGATGTTGTTGAGGATTATCTTCCTTGGAGAACATAGTTCAAATCCTTTATGGTCTCTCATAGTCTCATTGGGATTCTGGTTGGCCCTATACCGGTTCTGTCCCCCACCCTTTGTGATTTATCTGAATGTGTCACCCCTAATTCTGAATACACTCATTGGCTTCAAATTGATCAGACTGTCTGGTCTGGTTATTTGTTACTCTTTAATTCCCAAGATATTTTATTGAAGTCTATGACCTTAAATATTCCTATCTTATTTGGAAGCGACTTCAGACATGTTTTATGTTTGTTAGTCTTGCTCGATCCATGAAACTTAAATGGTTATTGTCCCACATTAGAAAGAAGGATTCAGAGTCCATGGATCAATATTTACAGAAAATTAAGGTCATGGTTGATGTCTTAGCCGCTATTAATTCGCTAGTCACCAACCGTGAATCGATTGAGTATGTCATCTGATATCGAGATTGGAGATTGAATATGAGTCATTAGTTACGACTATCTCCTATTTTCCGGGTAATGCCACATTGGATACACTTCGATCGATTCTTATGGCTCAAGAACACAGAGTGCTATTTCTTCGGTCACAAGATTCTACACCAACACATGAGGCTTTTGTCGCGGCATCTTCTAGCACATCCATCCCATCCGGCCGAGGGGGTGCCAAGGGGGTGGTTCTCGGTTTGACATTTCTGGAGGACAGGGGTATCGAAGCAATCAGCCTCGTGGAAGCCACGGTCGAGGATGTGGCCTTTACAATCAGCCCACGGCACCTCACGCTGGCTATGGAGGAATGAAGGGTTATGGTCCCGCTTTCCGCCAACATGTTGCTCCACCACATGGTCCACAAACGGGAAGTCCAAGTTCGGTATTTTGTAATGTTAGTTGTGAATGTTGTCATTAAGTATAATTTCCTGCTTGTGTTACTCATAATGTTAGTGTGGGTTTCCCATGATCATTTTTATCAGTCACCTCCTCCAGTGGTTTGTCAGTTTTGCTTTTCGCCAGGTCATTCGGCTCTATCTTGCTCTTATTTCACTGGTCCTAGCGCTCTCGTATTAGCAGCTCTACCCATCGGTGAGCATCATGACGTTGTTTGGTATCCTTACTCTGGGGCCTCCGCTTATATGACTCCAAATGAAGGTATTACTTCTCATAAAACTGCTTATTCTATTCCACATAAAGTGTATGTTGGTAATGGTACTAAATTACCTACTTCTCATATTGGTAATGTTAAATTAATCACTTGTGGCCTCCCACTACATCTTAAACGGAGTAAACCCTTATGAAAAACTTTTTAATAAAATTCTGGAGTATCATTTTCTTCGTGTTTTTGATTGTGTCTGTTTTCCTAATTTTATTCTGGTCTCTTCTAATAAACTCTCACCACGTTCCATACCTTGTGTTTTTCTTAGGTATGCTCCGGGCTATAAGCGTTATCGTTGTCTGTCATCCTACATTGGTCATGTTTACATTAGTCGTGATATACAATTTTTGAAAATCATTTTCCTTATCCCGACTCATTTCCCGCTTCCCAAACCAGTTCCCATACTACCCATGAACACGTGGCAATCCTCTTCCGTGTCTCGACCCACTGCCTAGAATCCGTCCCCCAACCTTCCACTTCTTTTGTCGGCTTCACCGCGACCCAACCCAACCACCGCACCGTCCACCCCAAGACCATAGTCACCTCCCATGTTGCCCGCCATATCCTAGACTACACTCATCAGTGTCCTCAACCCCACCAACCATCCCCTTCATCCACCATCGAACAATCTGTTTCTCCGTCGTCCTCTCCATCTTCGGCCACCCCTACCCCCCGACTGATGACCTTTCATTCACCACCCCTACACCACATAATATTCATCCTATGTGTGCACGTGCTAATTAAGGGTGGATTTTTTAAACCCAAACCTATTTTTAAACTATGTGTTCTGTCTCCCCCGGATGATCCTACTTGTTTTTCACAAGCAAATAATTTTTTTTTGTTTGCCGGGCTGCCATGGCTGATGAATTTAATGCTTTAATTACTAAAAGACTTGGGATTCGGTACCCTTGGATCACACTCAATATGTGGTGACTTGTAAGTGGATTTTTAAGACTAAGTACCATTCTGATGGGTCTGTTGAGCGTCATAAGGCTCGCTTAGTTGCTCAGGATTTTAAGTAATATACCGGGGTTGATATTACTGAAACTTTACTCCTGTTGTTAAGCCCACTACAGTTCATCATGTTTTTCTGTTGCGGTTACTCTGGGTTGGTCTGTACGTCAATTAGATGTTAAAAAATACATTCTTACATGGTTGTTTAACTGAGGAGTTCAACATGCGTCAGCCTCAAGGTTTTGTTCATCGTTCTTTTCCTAATCATGTCAGTTTCCTTCAAAAGGCTTTATATGGTCTTAAACAGGCTCCTCATGCCTCGTTTCATCGTTTTAGTGGATTTTTACAGAGTCGTGGGTTTTGTTAGAGTAAATTCGACTCTTCCATGTTTGTCTATCATTCTGAGTCTGAGACAATTTATATTCTTCTTTAAGTGGGTGATATCCTGATTTACTGGGTCTTCTATATCCTTTGTTCGGTCAGTCATTCATACATAGTCTCTTTAATTTTCTAGGAAGGATTTGAGGGATATTCATTATTTTTTAGGTATCCAAGCTCGTCGTAATTCTGAGGGATTATTTATTTCTCGAAAAATATATCATTGATTTATTATGCCGTTTTCACTTTCATACTATCAAACCTGTATCTTGGTACCCCCTTCCATCTCGTACTACACTTTCTCTTATGGGCAGGGAGCTATTATATGATGTTACTGAGTATCGCAACGTGGTAGGTGCTCTTTAGTATTTGAATCTCACTAGACATGATATTACTTATGATGTTCATCTTGTTTCTCAGTTTATGTATGTTTTACGTACCTCACATTTATTGGACGTCACGAGAATTTACAGAAATTTACATGGCACATCCGCGCATGGCTTATGGTTGCGCTCCGATAGGAATATTTATGTTATTGTGGCTTATACTGATGCTGATTTGGTTGGGTGTCCCGATAGTTCCTGTTCCACTACTGGATATGCAGTTTCTCTGGGAAATGATCTTATTTCATGGCGGTCCAATAAGCAATCGACGAGTTTCAAATCCTCCATTGAAGCTGAATACAAGGCCATAGCTTATACTGCTCAGGACAACCTCTCTGTCCGTTCTCTTCATGTGGATATGAGCATTCTTATTTCTACTCCAGTTCAGTTACATTGTGACAATGTCTGAGCATTCCATGTGGCGGTTAATCCTATTCAACATGACCGCAACAAACACATCAAGATTAACTATCACTTTGTTCTAGAACATGTAGCTCATGGAGATCTGATTGTTAAATATATTCCACACAATTATAGTTAACTGATATTTTTAATAAAAATTTATTTAGTGAACGTTTTAAATTTTTACGTTCCAATCCGCGCGTTGTATCCCCTGCACAAATTGAGAGGGGCGTAATAATGTGTTATATTATTGTAGGATTACTTTGTAATTTCTTGTAATCCAGCTATTATTTTACACATTAGCCCCCAACTTCAGCTCGTTATGCCAAACACAGTCTAAGTCCTCTTAAAAGATTGATTGACTTTGTCCGTGTTTTGATTGAACAATTATCTTAATTTAATTATGTAAATACGCAAATAAATCAATTTTTAAGAAGTGACTATTCACATATCAAATGCCTAGAATATGTTATGTACACACACTTTTTCCACCGAGGGTAGTCTAATTTAATATACAGATATTGTTCGCCACGATGAGCAAACAATAAAAATAAGAGAAAAGATGATTGTGTATCAAAATTGAGTAAAGTATTAATGTGTACATTCCATTCCTCCATCCAAACGCGCCTCCGCAGTCAACTCAGCTAAACAGCTATCTGGCTGACCATAAGCTGCTGCCCCACCGGAAATATACAAACATGGCACTCGGCTGACCGGCTCTCAACATCCGACTCGGCGTTCACAGCCGCGGCTACTTTTCTTCTCCGCTTCGGCGAGCCACTTCCAGAAGCCGGGGAGGATGCAATCGGCTCGGGCAGTCTTCTCTTCCCCGTAACTCTGACCGGGTCCGGCTCATTCAAGCCGATTCTGTGAGGGAAATTCAACAGCGCCTTGGAGCCGCGCATCCTGTAAGCCGCTTTATCATAAGCAATAGCGGCTTCCTCGGCTCTCTCGTATGTTCCGAGCCACACCCTTGCGCCGTTCTTAGCCGGGTCCCTTATCTCCGCCGCGAACTTCCCCCACGGTCGTTGCCTGACTCCCCTATAGTGCCGCCCTTTAGACTGCACAGCCGCCGGTGCAGCCGCCGCAGTGTCCACCAGGCAAGCCACATCAGCCGCCCAGCCCGGGCTCGCAGCTGGCTCGGTCGATTCCCATGGCTCGGTTTTAACCTCACTCGGCGTGGCAGTGAAGTTAAACGGCGTCCATCCAACACTAACGGCGTCACGCAGGAGCCCATAAATAACCATATCTTCAGAATCATCCACTTTAAGTGGCAAGTCACCCCACGTTTCCGTTAGACATGACATGAGACTTATGAAGCTTGAACTCCGGCGATACACCGGAATGTTCGCCGGCAGTAACTCCTTCCATATTGGTTGATCCATTCGACTTTAGTTTCGTTTGGATATTTTTATGATTTGGGTTTTTGAATCTTGGAAGAGGATACTGGAGGAGGGGTTTTATAGTATAGGACAATAAAGATGATGGAATTTATTTTATTCAAGTTTTGTTGGATATTTTATTTAACCGATAGCTCCACCAGATAGATACTTTGAAACTTCTAGTGGGCAAGTGGGCAAGTTGGTGGAATTACTTTACATTTTCTCTCACGTGGAAAGATTATTAACGACAATATAAATTAATAAAATTAACGACAATATAAATTAATAAAATTGAGGTTTGCAAGGAATGACGTCACGCCTCACGCATTACATTTCGATTGCAAACCAACAGAGAAAAGTCTAGCCCTCGTCCAGTGCTGAGCTCGTAAACGAACTCTATTCGGGTTAGTATAAGACCTTTCCAATTCGGAAAATTCAAATACAAATACAAATAAAAATATTAAATTTGATTCGAGTTGTTATCAAATACAAATAAGAATATCAATGTATTCGATTCGAATATTAACCAAATATATTCGATTAATAATAATGATAATATTAATGTCAATATTAATAATAATAGTAATAACACTTTAATAACTTTTAAAAGATAACCATACTCTCAAAGTGTAGCTCATATATACATTTTTGCATACAGATTCCAAACTCATTTGTAATAAATCATAATATAAATACGAATACAAATCAATTTTTTGGTTCAAATATCTTTCAAATACAATACAAATAATTATGTTTTCGATTTGAAGAATAAAATTGGAGAATTTTGACTTTGATATATACAATTATCAACCTATTTCACACATTATAAGTATATATAATTTCTAATATGTGTGTGTTAGTGTATATTTCAAAAAATTTGAAATAGATTTATATTTATTAATCATAAAATTAATTCACTTTATTATATTGTATACCATCTAAAAATGCATTGATCCATTAAGCTTAAATTCTAAAAACACACATTAAGTCATAGCAAACATTGTACAACATAAAAAAGACGGAGTATAAGAAAAGTTTTTTAGAGTGATATTTGACTAATATTTAACTTATACTCAAATCGATTCGATATTCGTATATGATTCGTTAATTATTCGTATTGTTAAACAAATACAAATCAAAATTAATATTCGTTTCATATTTGAATTCGAATTCGTATTTGAAAAATTAAACAAATACAAATACAAAATCTCATTATTCGACTCGATTCGATTCGTATACAACCCTACGGACAAGCCATATCATAGTTAACTCGAAGACTTATTTATAAATAGACTTAAATACATTTGTTTTTTTGAAAGAGACTTGAATACATTTTTAATACCAAAAACTACTTATACACAGAACAATACTCCCTCCGTCTCGATCATTTCTTCCGGTTTTGATCGGTATCACAAATTTAGGTAGTGGGAATAAAGTGAAAATGTATGGTTGTAGTTGTGTAAGAAAAAAGTGAATGAATGTGAACCACATATTTTTTCCAAAAGTGGAAGTTGGAAGAATTAATTGGGATTGTCCAAAAAGGAAAGTTGGATGAAATGACCGGGACGAAGGGAGTATATTTTATTGAGAAAAGGTGGAAATACACTCCTTTAGTACAGATGTGAGAGCAAATACGAAGTATATTCATGTTCTATTTTTCGAAATAAATACATTCTGAAGTATATGTGGAAGTGTATATATACTTCTGAACTTTTTAAGATGCAAAAATATGCCTCATGTTGCTATAAAGAAACAAATATACCTTTATTGAATTTAAATTGATAAAATAAATTTCAAAAAAATCAAAGATTTATTATTAATTGAAAATATATAAATAGACAATTTTAAAAATGTACTTGTGTCCAATTCTCTCTTTTAATGTTTATATATCACAATTTAATATTGTTAGTATAAAATATTATTTCAGAACTTTACTATATATTTAAGATTTTTCGGAAAAAATGTTAACATATGTGTTGCACTATAAAATTACATATTTTGTATGACGATAAATAGTCCAGGCTTACAAAATAGGGAATTTAATTTTATTAAGGTTAAATAAAATCAAAGAATGTAATTTCAAAAAATATAGTAATGTGTTCAAAATTTCACAACAAGACTAAAATTAATACTACCTTCGTTCTTAAATAAATGCAACACTTTGACTTTTACACTATTCACATGTTCTACTTTGACTACGTTTTATTTATTAATGTAATAATATTATTTAATGAAAAAAATATTGTTAAACTTGTCTCATTGTAAATTTTCATAATCTAATTTTTTTAATTTTTTTACTAATACAAAATCATTTATATTAATGGTCAAAGTTGTGTCTCGGCAAGTGTGAAATGTTGACCGTTGCATTTATTTAAGAACGGGGGAAGTATTTATCAATTTGAAATGCTTCATTTACGATGGAAGAATACTAATTTTGCAATTTTAAAATTAAAAAGTAAATATTTTAACATAATACGGAGTAATAAATTTTTATTTTTAAATATCGAATTTATAATTTATTTTTAGAGTTTTTTGAAATTTATTTTATCTATTCAAAGTCCATATATAAGTGTATATTTGCTCCTTTATAAGAACATGAGGGGTATTTTTGTACCTTTAAATAGTTCAGAGTATATATGCACTTCAACAGATACTTTAGGAATATATTTGTTCCAAAAATATAACAACGGTATATTCAGGGCCGAACCTCTAGATGAGGCAAAGAGGCAACTGCCTCAAGCCTACAAATTTGTAAAAAAATTAGGGCCCAGAAATTCATTAGTTACCTTTATATAGAAGAAAGTTCATGTCCTGAATTCCAGACAGGAACCGCCGTTCGGACGGTGGCATTTGGCCGCCTTTCCTGTGAAATTCTTTGATGAAGTTTTTATGCCATGTTCCTTATCAAGTCTAGTTTATCCACAAAACATTTCAGCTTAAAATTTAATCGGGAAGGCCATCAAATAATTTTTGGAAGTTAATTGCGTTTTATATGTATATTTTGGCGTGATTATCTTCCAAAAATCATTTGACGGCCTTCACGATCGAATTTTTAGCTTCATTTTTTTGTGGATAAATTAGACTTGATGAGGAACATGAAATAAAAATTTCATCAAAAAATTACACCGGGAAGGCGGCGACCGCCTTCCGGATGGCAGTTCCTGTCCGTAATTCCGGACATGAACTTTCCTCCCCAAAAATTCCTCAGGGCCTTTTTTACAGTTCGACTCAGACCAAAAAACTCTTAGGATCGGCCCTGGGTATATTTATTCTCACACCCATACTATAAGAGTATATTGGTACTTTTTCCCTATTTTATTAGAGATTCCTATTACATAAATTTTAGGTTTCGTTCACATAATTATTTTCTTTTTAATCTTACCTTGTTTTAATCTATGTTAATTCCAAACACATCTTAAAGTTATGAATTTTGTTTTAGAGAGTGATACATTATTTTTTTAATTTAATGTTATACAGCGGCGGAACCAGACAATAATTTGAGGGGGTGCTCTTATATTTTTTTTTGAAAAACAATTTTTTATTAGGATAAAATAAAAACGAGTGAAAAATAATTATTAATACATATAGAGTGAGGCTCTAATAAAAAGAGTTATTCCCGTGAAAAATGAGAACAGACGTATTTTTTACTCGTTTTGGTACACTAGTAAATATTTATTTTACACTTTTTCACAATGAGAGAAAATTTTGATTTATTTATCAAATTGTCACCGAGTTTTTGATAAAATATAGTGCATTGTTGACTGATTTTGACTCATCGGATCTCAAGTTAAATACACAAGATTTATTCTCGATCAATTTTAATGATAAGAACTTTTTTTATTTGATCCGAAACTTATATATATGTATATGTAGTGTGTTTCAAATAAAAATGCTATTATACTAAACAAAAGGTAAATACTTATATTAACTTAAAGTAGTTTTAGAATTATTCTTGACATTAAATGACAACGTCCGTATATGTCATTATTAGAAGAAGAAATGATTAAAATTAATTTGAATTGAAGAAATGAGAATTTAAAATAAAATATATAGAAATTCAAAAAGTGTGATTTAAACAACATTGCATCCTAGAGTGATTTAATTTAACATAAATAATTACCAAATGAGCTCAAGTCTAAAGAAGCAATAATGGAGAAAGCAAAAAAAATTGTTGTTCTTGAGAATTGAACCCAGGCCATTTAGGTAGATAGAGCTCTCCCAACCTCCACCCTACTATTTAAATTATCACAACTCATATGTTCAAATAGCGAATCCACTTTAATATATGAATACTTTCTGAACCGGGGCTGAGATATATACATATATATATATACAGAACCACCGCCGGAGAAGGGGGAGCGCCAGCACCGGCTCGCCGCCCCTAGTTCCGCCAGTGGTTATAGTCATTATTAAATTTTGAATGAGAGTGATTTTCAGCATAAACCTTTAATCTAAGAATAATGACTGAGATATTACTCCTAGAGATTTAATGGACAAAAATATGACCATCTTTAAAATAGGACAAAAAAGAGATGAAGTAATATTAAATGGATTAAAATAGAACTTCTTGAACAAAACAATACGCTCATAATATTGAGGGGTTTTCCCCTCAATATTACTAAATTCAACTCAATTTCCAAAAAAATGATTAGTTTCAAATACTGACAAAAATGTGAGTAATGAAGTCATAGATTTGGAAAAGAATGATGTAACTGTAAATAATTATGTCACTGCGATTTTTTCATGTCACTGAGAAGTTTTCACTGCCAGATTTTCATGTCACTTACGAATGTCATTGTCGTCGGAAACATGTCACTATCGCCGGAAACGTGTCACTGTGATAGCCGGAAAATTCTCAATTGACTTTTTCCGGCGATTTTTCCAACGACACTGCCATTGTCCCCCCTCCTCAACCCCCAACCACATGTGTGTAACAGTAATATCAAGACTTAAAGCAACAACAATATCACTTCTCCCAGCTCGGAGCCGTCGTAGCACAAACTTCGGCCACCGCCGTAGCATTCCGATCGCCGCCATCTGACACAACTCACATACCACCCTCATAGCCATATCTCGGCCTACCCTTCCCAGCCCCCAATCCCCCCCACCCAACCCCCTCCCTA